GCTCGAGTGAGGAAGAATTTCCTGTATTACCGATTTGTTCCCCCATTTCTTCTTCACTCTGGCCAGCTTTAACAAGATATCTGATCGATAATTGTGTTTGCAGGGAACATGTTGTACCTCCACAGAGTTGAATCTCTTTATTTTTTCTCGAACTAGAGTTCAGTATTCTGAGAGTTGGTCATTTTTGACCTGTTATTATCCTTATACTTGAGAGGCAACAAGTTGGGAGTCTATGAAGATCTTCACTTCCTCGGACCCCAAGTCTTCAGCCAGGCGAAGTCCTGTGAGGAGAGCTTAATATTCTACCTGGTTGTTTGAGGTTGGAAAATATAGCGCCAGTGATACTTTGACTAGTATCCCTTCCTCATTTTCCAGGATGTTACCTGCCCCGCTTCTGCTGGAGTTGGAAGCTCCGTACATGAATATGCTCCACTTGTGGAGGATGGAGAGGTCATCTTTTCTACAAAGTCAGCCAATACTTACGCTTTAAGAGCTTTTCTGCTCTCATATTTGATGTCAAACTTAGAGAGTTCTAGTGGCCATTTGAGCATCCTACCCGCCATGTCGGGGCGACCTAGTAATTGCTTTATTGGTTGGTCGGTTTGGACTATGGTGGTGTGTTCTAGGAAGTAGTATCTCAGCCTTCTCGCTGCATTAATGAGTGCAAGGGCCGCTTTTTCTATCTGTAGGTATCTTACTTCAGGTCCTTGTAGGAATTTGCTCGTGAAGTAGATGGGCTTCTTCTCTTAGGGGGTTTCCCGAATGAGAGCAATGCTAATGGCCTCGGAAGCTATGGCCGGATAGAGGTAGAGAGTTTCTCCCTTATCTGGCCTCGACAGGATCAGAGGTTGAGATAACACTCGTTTGAGGTGGAGTAGGGAGCTCTCACACTCCTCGGTCCATTCAAAAGCGACTTCTTTGCGGAGAAATTTGAAAAAGGGCAGCGCGTGCTGGGCAAATTTTACCACAAAATGGGATAACGAGGTGAGCATCCCATTCAGGGTATGGATTGATTTTTTCGAGTTGGGCGTCAGGAGTTCAGAGAATTCTTGGCATTTGTCGTGGTTGTCTTTGATTCCCCGTTCTATGAGGTAGAAGCCCAAAAATTTTCCTGCTCGTACTTTAGAGGTGCACTTTTCAGGATTGAATCGCATTTTGACTCTTCTTGCCTGATCGAAGACCTTTTTGAGGTGGAGTGCGTGATTGGTATCCTCGTTGGGTTTTACTATAATGTTATCCATGTAGAGTTCTAGCATGTCGCTGATTTCTCTTCGAAAAACTTTGTTCATCATTTGTTGATATGTGGCACTGGTGCTCTTTAAGTCAAAAGCATTACATTGTAGTAATAGTTTCCTGATTCGGTCATGAAGGTCGTATATTTTTTGTTCATTTTAGCCATGGGGATCTGGTTGTAGCCAGAGTACGCATCCATGAACGAAAGTAATTTGAAACCTACAGAATTGTCTACCAATTTATCTATGTTGGGCAAAGGATAAACGTCTTTAGGATAAGCCCTATTAAGATCGGTATAATCAACATACATGCGCCATTTTCCATTAGATTTTTTGACGAGGACTACATTAGAGAGTCAGGTTGTGTATCGGGCTCCACAAATAATCAAAAACATGTATATTTTTAGGATATACATCTAGCCATAAAGACTACAAAAGTTTTGATTTGTTAAGACTTAATATCATAATTTTTAGACATCATGTGTCTGTTGAAAAGATTTTTTCTTTTTCTACATCAAATGCTCTCGAGTTCACACGCTATAATTTTTTGGATACATGGAATACACCTTTTCAAAACTATCAATTCCAACCTACATTACCTCATTTTAATAACAACACTACCTCCTCCATCAAACTTGATACACGACTATACCACAACCAACACCATTCATTGAATCCTCTCCTAAAATCACGATCACACAACAACCAACACAACCTTCTCCTTAATAAACTACAATTTTCCCTACAAACTCAACTCATTCAAACCTCATCCATACATCTAACATGTCATATCCTCATCAAATACTTACACCTACTAATTTTTAGTCAACTCTATGTTCTCTCCTCAAATAACCACCCGAGCACAACACATAATCTTTAAGTCTCACAAACTCTTAAATCTACACACCTCTAGTCCAACCCTAATATATCATTTGATAACTAATTCCATTAATGCATTACATTATCATAATTGAAAAACAGTTATGAAAGACAAGTATGATGCTTTTATTGAAAATAATATGTGGGATTTAATGCTACGTCCTTCTAATGCTAACATTATTCAAAGTTTATGGACTTTCAAGCATAAGAAGAAATTTAATGTTTCCTTTAAGAGGTACAAAACTCTGTCAGTAGTCAATGACTCTAATCAAGAGATTAGTGTAGATTATGGTGAAACTTCCAGTCAAATGGTTAAATCATCAACTATACAAATAGTTTTGAGCATGGTTTTAAATTGTTGTTGCGGTTGTGAATGTGGCTGCAGTTGTTGCAATTATAGTCATTGCGGTTGTTGTAATGCATATTATTGTCGTTGCGATGTGAATTTTTATAGGGAGGTGTTTGAAATACAACGTTGAAAAACACTTAATGTTAAGTTTTTTTACTACATAATAAGTAAATTGAGTTTTAGAATTCTAATATATTAATTTTTTATGAAAATACTAGAAGAAACATGATTGAAATTGTCGGATGTGGTTCCTAATATACACAGAGGCATAGTTTTTAAAATCACACCACAATTGCAATCTGATGCGGTTGTGGAGACAACTGCATCCATAATATTGCGGGTGCAATTGCGGTTGCGGGCCGTAATTTAAAGCCATGATTCTGAGTATTATGCTTTTAAAGTCATGGTCTCTTCATCAATTAAATTTCAAAAATGAATTCTTACAAGGAAATATCAATGAAATCATGTAGATGTACCAATCTCCTAGTTTTTGTGATCCTTAACATTTTAATTATGTGTGTTTACTGAATAAATCTTTGTATGGTCTCAAATAAGCACCATGTGCTTGGTACCAATATTTTACTAAAAACGTTTCTACATTGGGTTTTTCTCAAGCATATGTGATCATTTCTTATTCATCCACCATATTGGAATTGACACATCCTTCATTCTTATGTATGTAGATGATATTATTATTATTATTATTATTATTATTACCGCATTAACAAACATCTTTTGCTAGTTCATCATGTCTAAACGGATTTTCGAATTCGCTATACGAAAGACTTGGGTCCTTTAAACTACTTTATAAGAATCTCAGTTGCAAGACACTTAAATGACATTTTTCTCTCACAACATAAATATGTTAAAGAAATCATTGAGCGATCTGCTATGTCTTCTTGCAAACCACATTCTACCCCAGTGGATACAAAAGCTAAACTTAGTGAAACCTTATGGAACCCACGTCATGATGCTTGTGAATATCAAATTCTTGCTGGAGTATTGTAATATCTAGCTTTCACAAGACTTGTTATGTCTTATTTTATTGAACATAAATGTCTTTTTATGCATGATTCAAGAATGCAACGCATGATTGTCTTAAAGCGAATTATTTAATAAATTAAAGATACAATTACTCAAAATTTTCATCTCACCCTCTCTGGTTGATAAACTCACCACATATATCAGTCCCAATTAGACATAGAGTCTGGACACTAGAAGTTCCAGGTCACACTATTGTGTTTATCTTGGGGACAATTTAATTTTGTGGACTACAACATGACAACCAACTATATCTCATTCTAGTGGTGGAGTAGAATATCATAGTGTTGCTAACATTGTTTCTAAATCTTGTTCACTTCGAAATTTACTCTTAAAACTTCAGTGTCTTGTCAGAAAGGTCACTTTGTCATACTATGGTAATGTTAGTGTAGTATACTTGTCAAGTAATCTAATTCAACACCATTGTACAAAACACATTGAGATGGGTAGTCACTTTGTGCGTGAAAAATTTGGTTGTGGTCAGGTATGTGTTATACGTGCTTCTTCATGTTATCAAGTAAATGACATTTTTACAAAGGGCTTTCATTGTAGTTGTTTGATGACTTCATAGATAATCTCAACCTTCGTCAACTTTGAGTTTCAATTACGAGGTGTATTAGAATATGAAATATTTTTTATATCATTCTTAATATCTCTTATTTTTAATAATACATTTAAGTAAATTGATTAGATATTTATTTTGAAGAATCAATCATTATTCTAGATTAAAAATATTAGATAAACCATTTGGTTGGGCTTCAATGACTTGACTTTAGGGCGCCAAAGTCACCATGACTTTATGTATGTCTTTCAGTACAAAACACTCTCACATTCAACAACTTAAAATTTATGTGAACTCAATTGTAAAAGAGTAATAGGCAAAGTTATTTTTAACCTGGATAATTTAAGTGTGGGAACTCCCTAACTTGAACGTACACATTGTCGTAAAATTTATAATTTATAGATTATGTTAAATGAGTCATGTTAATTTTTAAAGAACAATTAATGAGTGGTGGTGGGGACTTGGGTCTTGAGAGTGTGTTCCTCTTAAGTTCCTAAGTTTGAATCATGCTAGGTGTTAACAACTCTTGTTTTGGGTCAGTCTATAGAGAGCTTTGCTATAATGAGATATCTTCTAGTGGATAGTAGGATTTGTCCTTTTAGATTAGTCGGTCGCAAGACCGAATACTAAAATTTTAAAAAAAAAATTTAAAAACAATGCGATATGAGTTTAAGTATAATTTACAAACGTAGAAAAAAGTCAGTGATCTATCAATAGAATTTTAATAGAATAATCATTTCAATTTTTATTTTCTTTTCAAATTTCGAACCTTTCCCCCTGCTTGCATTTCAATGCTATAAAATCTTCCTCATTATTGCCTCATGTTTTTTCCAAACAACATGGGAAGATTCAATCTGACATATTTTGGATATATTATACTATGATTTAGTGATGTTTAATGATTTTATTGATGTAAGTGTATATATTTATTTGACAGGTTCGAGTACCAGCATGGACAGATCGTATACTGTTCAAGATAGAAGACTCAGACAACATAGAAGTAACCCTACATTCTTACGAGTCGTTGGATCAAATATATGGTTCTGATCATAAGCCAGTAAAGGCACATATCTGCCTAAGACTTCGTCAACATCAAAATGAATCCTAAATATTTGGTTAAAGTATATACTATTTTATAAATTATTATAGTAATGAAATTTTTTTTTTAAATTGTACTCCCTCTGTCCCAAATTATAAGACACTTTAGAAAAAAATTGTCTCAAATTATAAGTCACTTTACAATTTTAATGCAACATTAATGATATTTTTTCTAATATGTCCTCTATTATTTATTTCTCTTTCTTCTTTCAATTCTCTTAATTTCTCTTTCCTCTATAATTAATGAAGGACAATAGTGTAAAGTCATACATAATTTCTTTTTCTCATACAACAATAATTAATTTTCTTAATACGTCTGAAATACTCAAAACGTCTTATAATTTGAGACGGAAGGAGTATTAATTATATATAGTCGATCAAATTGATAAAAAAATTATCAAAACAAATGTAAAGAAGAAAAAGACAGAAAAAATGCTAATTTGTCAATGCTGGATTTTGCAGTCAGTCTTATGATGGAGACACGTGAAGCCTCTCTCAATTTAACTTGTGTGGTGCTCTAATTGTGATTTAATTTATGAATTGAATTTGTTTTAACTAAAACTTTAGGGTAGACAGAATAATAGTTTAAAATAGTACCAGATAATTTTTTTTATTATATTTTATTTGATAGTCAATGTATTAAACAATTTTTTTTAATCTATTTTGTTTAATGTCGATCCACAGGGGAAAAGAAGTGGTAGGATAATACCAGCAAACATCACTACTAGGGTAAGCCACAAGTGACCAGCATCAGCACTTATGACTAGAAACAAACAAATTTCTTCAGAGCAATGTGAATCTCAACGATGAACTATCCCCCATAATGAAGATACTATCATTCATCGGAGTAACAAATCTCAACAATGAACTATCTCTCATAATAAAGAGACTACCATCCATTGGAGTAAACAAATATCAACAATGAACTATCTCCTATAATGACGAGACTATCATTCATTGGAGTAACAAATCTAAATAATGGACTATCTCCTATAATGACGAGACTACCATCCATTTGAGTAAATAAATCTCAACAACGAACTATCTCCCATAATGACGAGACTACCATCCATTAGAGTAAACAAATCTCAACAATGAACTATCTCCCATAATGATGAGACTACCATCCATTGGAGTAAACAAATCTCAACAACAAACTATCTCCCATGACGAGACTACCATCCATTGGAGTAAACATCTCAACAACGAACTATCTCCCATAATGATGAGACTATCATCCATTAGAGTAACAAATCTCAACAACGAACTATCTCCCATAATGACGAAACTACCATCCATTGGAGTAACAAATCTCAACAACGAACCATCTCCCATAATGATGAGACTACCATCCATTGGAGTAAACATCTCAACAACGAACTATCACCCATAATGACGAGACTACCATCCCTTGGAGTAAACATCTCAAAAACAAACTACCTACCATAATAACGATACTACCATCCATTGGAGTAACAAATCTCAACAATGAACTATCTCCCATAATGACGAGACTACCATCCATTGGAGTAACAAATCTCAAGAACGTATTATCGACTATAATGACGATACTACCATCCATTGGAGTAAACAAATCTCAACAACAAACTATCTCCCATAATGACGAGACTACCATCCATTGGAGTAAAAAATTTCAATAACGAACTATCTGCCATAATGACGAGACTATCATCCATTAGAGTAAACAAATCTCAACAACGAACTATCTCCCATAATGATGAGACTACCATCCATTGGAGTAACAAAATCATGAATCTTCTCTGGGAGCTAACAGACTTGCTGGAGAAGTACAAGTCGCTCAAATAAAGAGACATGTCATCTACTGTTATAAGAAAGAGTTGCAATAATGATAATGGGGAAAGAATTATGACTTTCTGGGGAAATGCCAATATATTCCTGCTGAGGAGGTAAAGTCTTCTCGTGCAAAATAAATGCACATTCTCAAATCAGAGCTCAAAGCCTGCAGAAATCAGAATAATAATGTTGCCAAGAACCACTAATTCAAACCAGAAATAAACCAGAATGAAACTGTCAACCAAGATAGCACCTGATGAGAAATAAACTCAAGAGGGGACCACAGACCTAACTAGACAATGAGATGAATAGGAAAGGCTGAAGCAAAATTCTTCCACGAGGGATAACTCAGTGGGGAAATTGAAAGAATATACACTTTCTGCTTAAGGTTGACACTCTATTGGAGAGAGGGTAACATAACTCTGCAAAATAAGGTAATATGCCAACAAAAAATAATAAATGCAAATGAGCAATGAATTTTAATTCAGTTATGCATGATGTATGTATGAATGTATGAATGTTATCATGTATATGCTGAAAACACAGACACGTAACACTAGAAATAACCAGATAAAACCAGCTTGGGTAAAGTCAATACTCTGCTAAATCACATCCAGGATGAAAATTTCATAAAAAAGTAAGCACCAACTGAGGAAACAAAGTCCTTTTCCACAGCTTAACTTTACTGGGAAGAAACACAATTTGAAAGTAATCAAATCAAAATAATAAAAACAATGCAAATACAGGGATCTAACATCCTCCTCCAGGCTTCACCAGGGAACATCACACAAACTTCAATAGGGAAAACGAATGTCTCGATGTTTAGGCTTCCACTGGAGATTATAATATTGAGTTCATTAGAGCAGATGAAAACCGTATCGTCGAGATATTAACTTGGGATCTCGTACTGACTCCATTGGGGAGGGCAACACCACATCATCGGGGGGAGCCAAAAATATATCTTTTACTACCAAGAGTGATGATTACACAAACTTCCTTGGGGAGAAATTATGAAATTACATGAGGATAACAACTTTCAGAGAAAAACATCATCTCATCTTTACTTGGGGATCTAAGAAGTCAAACAATACTGCAAGAAATAAAAATTATGGGGATTTTAAATCAAACCCAACACTTGGAGGGGGGAAAACCCAAAAAGTTGATAACTATTTCAACACTTCTTATAAAGGATAACTCCCTTGTCTAGTTGCATGGGAAACAAACTACAACAATAATGCCAACACTACAAAAAGGCGACGTTTTTCAAATGATTCCACCTCAACACGCAAAGGGAGAAGAGACTTCCGTCATATGAGCAAAGACCTTACTGGGGAATCTGGGGTAGAGGCTTCAGACTATGCAAACCTTAAATCAAAATGAACCAAGACTTGACTGAGGAAAATGGGATCATAAACCCAACACCGCACCATACATCAATTGGTATCATCTACAACTATCTGAGAACACAAGAAGATCATATGCATACCAGCAAAAGTGACCTGGGAGAACCTTCCTGGGGAATTCATACTTCCAAAATTTCAGCACTCGTCCATCCTTGGAATCACTATTTTTATTTCTCTTGAGTAAAAAAATCTAAAGTAAAAAGTAATTTTGTAAATTCTTTTCAAAAAACAATTTTGTTATTAAATCTCTTTGTTTTGAAAATTAATATCAATAATAAATGGAGGATTTGTCAGCAGAATAAAATAGGAATTGCAAAGAATTGGACAAAAGCTCAAACTTTATTAATATAATGGTAGTATGCGAATGGTGAGACTCCATAGATGATTACAAAGTTTGGAAAATGGTAATATATTGGAAAAGATACATTGAAATACAATGACCACTATTCTCCCTAACAACTTTGAATTCCTGAGCAGCGACTTCTGTTGAAGTGTGGTGATAATCCGAGAAGATTGTTGCTTTAATGATCAAGTCTTGTCTGAGGCAGTTACTTTCCAAGAAATCCCTAACTTTTGCCTAAGTTGCCCTTGCGAGTTTTCAACCTACCGGGAAAATTTATTTTGTTTATGTCTCTTATTTTTCCTAGACCGCCCTTTCGAGTTTTCAGCCTACCGAGACGCTCTTTTTTTCCTAAGCCGCCCTTTCGGGTTTTCTACTTAGCGAGCTATTCTTTTATTTCTTTAGGAAAAGTATTTCTTGACTGCATCAACATTCATAGGACGTGGGAACTCCTCGCCATCCATAGTTTCAAGAATCAATGCACCACCAGAGAATTCCTACTTGACAACATATGGGCCTTCGAAATTGGGAGTCCACTTGCCCTTAGAATCAGCGTTAAAAGACATGATCTTCCTGAGCACGTGTTCACCTTCTCTGAATTCACGAGGCTTAACCTTCTTATCAAAAGCTTTCTTCATTCTCTTCTGGTATAACTGGTGTCGTACTCCAAATTTGCCCTACCTTTACGATTATATTTTCAAGTTTAAAGAGAGAAGTATTTTTGATCCAGCAATATCTGATGGCTCATTCTTAAATCCAATACAACCAAAGGGGTTTATTTTAATTCAGGGAATGAGGCTTTCTAAATTAGAAAGACCCATATACCCGAGGGCCTATTTGTGAAGCATGTTGGCCAATGGCCCATGAGATTCGAATATGGAGAATTATTTCAGAAATAATTATTAAAATTCTTAGCTAAGTCCACTTAATTATATTCGTTGCTAGTAAAGAAAAAGGGAGTGAAACGGAAATAAGAAGCTCATAAGAATTCATATGGACCATCAAGATTTTCAAAATTAGCCCATTTTACATTTTTATTATTGCTATTCTATTTTAAATAAATTTTTATTAAAACATTGCTTTACTAATTTTTTATATATATAAACTATTTATTAAGACTCAAATGGAGGGCTGCTGCAAGAAGCGGGAGGTGAAAATTCAAATCAGGCTCACCAAGTTTTTGGCCCATTAGGACGTTTGTTACTATTATTTCACTAAAAAAAGTATATTTTTCTATTAAAAGAACGTCATATTTTTCTATTACTACTGATTAAACTTTTTATTTTTAAGAAAACTTTTATAATAATATTTTATTAAAAGATATTCTATTATTTAATTCATTAAGAATTTTTATAAAGTTGAGTACTGTGTTAAAAAAAAGTATTTGTTCGGTCTGTTTTAGGCCCAGCCCGTATCCATATCCAAAGCAAAGGGGGCATTGTTTTTTGCAAA